TCGGTAATGAATAATAATACTATAGAAAAATATTTAACATTATTCTAGTTATTATATAGATTTAACTTCAAAGGATTCCAAGGTGCCTATGACTGCTACAAATTTAGATTATCTAGAATCAACCTATAGATACAGCTGTGTGACCGCCAGGTGGAGCTGGCAAAGACAAATTATACTCTATAAATTATGAAATATTTTAATCTATGGTAATATTTTTTATTGTTATTAATGATATGTCAAGACGTCAGTTTTTTAGATGAAATATGAAATTGTTTCAGATAGAAAGCTAAAAAGAATGCAAACACAGAGAACATGCATACATAAAAAATATCACCTACTTATTATTTTTGATGGTGTATGCTGGTAATAATAATTAATTTTTTGTCAGTGTTACTCAGTTTATTGCTCTTGTTATCATACTTTTTCTACCTGGTTTGTAGAATTTTTCGTAATATGGACCCAGAAGACGCTAAATTCTTAAGAACGTTAGTACTTATACTCGTTTTTGTATTTAATAATAGAATACGTTTCTTTAATACGAATTTGTATTAGGGATCGACGTCCTGGCACTTTGGATGTCCATCCGACTCTTAATGCCATTGTTTTGAACTATGAATTGGAAGTCCAGATACTTGGTGACAATGAAAATATTATTTACGGCGAGAAACATGTTTGTTTGAGCTTTTTACACATTATTTATTTTCACTAAGATTTTTATTTTAGAGTATGAAGAAAATTATTGAATTGCCAATGTTAAATACCAGGACAGATTGTCATGCTCTAGCAAGAGAATTACTGTCACAATGTGATTTGATTCATCCATCAAGATTAGCAGAAGTTGAGCAGACTATTTATTATTTGAAGAAAAGAAAAAATGTTCAAAACACTATTAAAGGTATGTCTTATAGAAGTAATTGTGACTGGCAGCTGATACACTTATATTAATTCTGTATAATAGTAACAATGTTTAAAAGACTTGTATTCTCTATTCTTTCTCTATTTATAATCAATGTGAAATCAAAGCCAAAGAGGTCAGAGGTATTTATTTTTTTAAAAACTTGTGTGAAAACTTTATGTGAAGTAATGATTATTTTCTTGGTCAAAAGTATTTATTATTGTATTTACTTTATAGATATTAACAACGTTATAAAAAATTCCTCTGAAACTAATGGAGCTAACATCAATAATTTGAATGAATATATTGAACTACTATATGAAGAATTACCAGAGAAAATTAAAGCTGCAAGTTATATACTGCAATTGGCTAAAGATCCTGAAAATTTAGAGTCTCTTTCAAAAAATGGTAAGGAATATTTAACACTAGAATATTGAAATAGAAAATATATAAAGCTATATCAAATAAATACCATACTTAATATATTATTCTGCCACATTTAAAACATTTGAATACTTGTATGATACTAGTGGCACATTGTGTTACTAATTTGTTTTAGTATAACTATATTTCTCCAATTGAAGAATTTTTTCCATTTTTATTAAAAAGTGAATTTAAGAGTAACAAATCATTATTAATATGTTTATGTTTATTTTAGTAGATAAATCATTTTAATTAAAAATAAATTCATTTTAGAAACGATATTGAGTGCCTTGGCAAGAGTATTACGGGAGGATTGGAAACGCAGTATTGTCTTGAGTACAAATTTAATATTTACGTTTTTCTGCTTCTCTACATACTCATGTTTTCACCACGTTATCCTAAGTTATAAGGTAAGCTTTAAGCAAAAACATGGAAGCAATCAGTAACGTAATTTTTCTTTTTAATAAACAAATTATTTCTTCTTAAATTGTACAAAATTAAACGGAAAAGTTAGTGTACAATAATTATGTTCATTATTCTATTGATTATCCCATATAAAACTTGCATTAACCGCTATTTAAGTTTATATAATCTGTAAAAACGTTTCAATGTGAGACATTTTGTATAACAATGATAATTAATTTTTAGATTGGATCTCTTTGCATGGAAATTATTGATTACGAATTGAGAAGGTATGATGACTGGAAAGCTGTTACTGAAGGAGGTAAACCTCCCAGTGAACCTTCACTAATTCGAAGAACTTGCCCTAGCAGCGCAAGTATGACCGAAATTCATAAAAGTCGAATTCCAGAACCTGTTAGACCAAAATCAGGTCATTTTGGCGATATTGCGAAAAGTGGTTTGGAGGGAAGTATCTATGATGATCTTTCAACCTCTACCGATAATTTAGATGATAAAAAACAACTAACAGAAGAAGAGAAAATTAAAAGATATCGCACATTAATTCGAAAACAGGAACAATTGCTACGAGTTGCATTTTATCTGCTCCTTAACATAGCTGAAAATGAGAATGTCGAAGAAAAAATGAGCAAAAAGAATATTATCGGCCTTCTTGCTAAAGCTCTTGATCGAGAAAACGAAGAATTGTTGGTTCTTGTAGTTTCATTTCTTAAAAAGTTATCGGTAATGAATAATAATGTCTACCAAATGTCCGAACTACACGTACTAGAAAAACTAGCGAAACTTCTGAAAAGTAATAATTCAGATTTAATCCATCTTATTTTGAAATTACTTTTCAATTTGTCTTTCGATGGCGAATTACGTGCACAGATGGTGTCGTTGGGTTTCTTACCAAAGTTTGTCAGTTTGTTAAGTGTGTAGTTATCTGTTTAATTTAATTACTACTACTAATTTCTACAATTTCAGCTGATGATAAGCAACAAGAAACAGTAATGAAATTGTTATATCACCTAAGTTATGATAATGATGTCAAAACACAATTTGCTTACACAGATTGTGTTTCTTTGGTAAGTATTGTTAGCTGACATTTTTGTAATTTCGATGGTAGAAAAAGTTATATTAACTTATATTTCCTCAAGGTTAAAAGTCTATCTGAAATCAAGTAAACTTTTAATAGAGGCAGTAAACTTTTATCAAAAACGCTACCCCAGGCTATTGTACCGTATATAACTATATTCTGAAAGCAAGCGTAATATATACACAGTAAATGATTCCTTTGCTTTTAAATTTTATTTCTTTAGCTTGACTTTCAGTCTGTATGTTTCATCTAACGTTATAGTCGAATATTACTCCTGAGTATGTATAAAAATTAACTTCCAGTGTAATGTAAATACTTCATAGGAATATGTTTGTATTCATTTTTTTTCCATTGTTGAATAACAACGTGTATCTGTTTTACAGATATTTGACATGCTTGAGCTGAGCGTTACTGAAGAAGTTGATCAAGTAATGTTAGCTCTTTGTATAAATTTATCAATGAATCCGCAAAACGCTCAATTAATGGTTGACAATAATGGTCTCCAGTCGCTTATGACGAGAGCATTTCGATATCAAGATGCTCTTTTAATGAAAATGATACGTAACATTTCTGAACACGAATCTCTAAAGCCCAATTTTATTGTAAGCTATTTTTAATTTACATTTTTTACTCAGTTTTTATTTAGTGTATTTCTAAAGGAATTCGTTGGCGATCTTGCTAAAGCAGTTATTGAGTCAAAGAAGGAAGATTTTATTATCGAATGTCTGGGTGTGCTGTCTAATTTAAATCTTCCAGATCTGGATTGGGCTGAAATATTCAAACATTTTGATATGATTACTTGGTTTAAAAATGTTGTAAAACGTAATAACGTTGAACCAGATTTCGTACTAGAAGTAAGACCATGTTCAATTTCGAAATGATATTGTTTTACACTTATGTCTCTAGATTATAGTTCTTTTGGGCACTGCTGCTTATGATGAAAGTTGTGCCCAACTCATATGCAATTCTGACTTACTGCAGTTACTAATAGAGTTGTTGAAGTTTCATCAAGAAGATGATGAAATTGTCTTGCAAATAATTTACGTATTTTTAGTAATACTAGCGCATGAATCTACTGTTCAGTACGTTATTAATAAAACAGGTAAGTGATATTTTATTTTGTAATTCTAGTAGCTCACCTATTTCTTCTAAAAATATTCCATGATTAAAAATTATATTTCGTAAATTTAAAATTTGATATTATTTTCAGTTATAAACTACTAAGAAATAAACGTTATTTCTGTTTAAATAACATTATAATTTTTATAATAACTGATATTTCATTTTTTAAATTTGTTTCTACTGCAATAAAATAAAAATTGATTCCATTTAGAAGCTCCAGCCTACCTCATTGATCTGCTTCAAGACAATAACAAAAATATTCGAAAAGTATGTAATACATGTTTGAATATGATAATGGATAATAGCACTTCATGGGCAGAAAGAATTCGGATTGAACGCTTCAGACATCATAACGAGCAATGGTTGCAGATGGTGGATAATCACCAATTTGATGAGGAAGAGGAGCAAGAAAAAGAAATAGAACCTGTATTTATGAACACTGGTTACATTAGTTCGAATATTGTAACTTCTCTTGCTGGTAGATGATGCTTATAGTGTTATTTATAAATAAAACTTCAATTGTTTTTCCTTCTTTTGTAGATTTAGATGCAATGCCGAAGACTCCTAAAAAATCTGAAGTTTTATCCACTACGGAAAACGATTATTTTGAAAGACCTGAAACTTCGTAAGTAACACTTTTAATTCAATTTCAATTTTTGTAATTCAAAAACTTTTAGACTTTTGCAAGATTTCGAAATTGAATCGTTGGACGGCTCTATTTAAATAATTTTTCTGTCTGGTTACTACACAAAGTACCTATGCACAAGATATTAATAAAAGAGTAGCTTTATTAGCTTTAATTATTTAGTGCTTTGGTATAATATTAAATATTGCATTTCTATCTAGTCAGTAATCACATAGTGTATTATTTTGCTGTAGCTATTAAGAACAAGTATTTAAATTATGCATCTGTTTTTTTATTTTTATTTTGGTATAAAAGACGTTAAATTTAAAATCAGAGAAAACTTGACTCTTTATTTAAAAGTATAGAGGCCGTAGGCGAGTTGGACAAACTACCGTTAAACTACAGGCCTCACATTTTTTATGCAAATTACTGCTGTTACAATTAATAATAATAAAATATTGTACTCTTTTGTCAGTATAAAAGGTACAATTATTATTTCAATCGTGACCTGTTGATTAAAACAAGTACTGTAGTTATAGACGAATTAGCATTGAACATAATAATAATGCTAAAAGCTAAAAGTTTATTGTGATATTTTTTATGAAAACTTTTCATTAATTTATTTATTTAATTAAACAGACGAATTGTAGATCCTTATATAAATATGAAGTAAGAGGTAGTAGCAAATAATAGAAGGTTTGGTTTAAATGAAAACATCTTTGAATAAAGTTTTAAAAAACTGATAGTACAATTGTAAAAATAACAGATATGCCTATCAATTATTTCAGCTACTAAATTTGAGTACTACAGGCAGCTGATTAAAATTGTCACACAAGTTTAACTTTGTATGGATTAGAAAAAGAATGTAATATTTTGGAAATGAACATGAAGAAAACTTGCAAATATAAGTGCTTATCAATTTACTTTTATCCTTAAAAAATATACTTTTATTTTCTGTCAGAATTACTGTAAAATATTAAATGATTGTATACTGTTTAAATTAGTATCACTGTAGTGTACAATTTTTATCATGCTAATTGAGTTGAAAAGGAAATACTTTTTGTAAATGGCGCGTTGTTTTAATTGTGATCTTATTCGTAAGAAAGAATCTAAATTATACATAACGTAGAGGTTTTTGATAATCAAGTATTTTGTAACAATTTCGAACTTCTGTCGTGCATTTAAACAAGAATAATTTCAAAGGGAGTTGTTTGTATTAAATCAGGATTAAATCCATTATTTATTGTAAACATTACCCGTTATATGAAATATTAAACACGCTGGTGTCATGTGACATTTAATGGATTTAATTGAAATAACATTTTTTTTTGACATTTTTGACATATGTCATTAAAAGCACCTGAGAAAAATGCATACGTATAATTTTCTAATCTAAATTAATTGTGTATATTTTGTTACAGTATTTATTTTACATTAAATGTGGATTGTATTTTTAACATATCCTTTTCCGTTGATTTTGCTAAAACAAGTATCGTGTGATAGCAAGTTTTGATAAAAATAATTTATCAAACTATGTTGTGAATAATGAAAAATGATTCTACAGCCTACAAGCTATCAAAAACGTCGAAAATAATTGCAACATCAGTTTACTGGTAGGTGCGTTATTTATCTTTAGAGACAATTATTTTTTTATATTGTATTACCTGATAATAATAGTACAAGTTTTAATAAGTTTTATTATCATTAGACTTTGATAACAGATTAACAGCAGATACCAAAGGCAAATAATGATCATAATGTAATGTTATGTAAAAAGTTATTGCAATATATTTAGGTACTAGAAAGAAAGGTTACTAAATGGGGGGTACTCTTTTGTAGTAAAGGTCCATGGTAGTGTAATTTTAAAAACTATGGCTGAAGCAGGAGTTGCTCAAAATGTTCCTCATCAATTAAGTATTACTGGTAAGTGAATTACAAAGTCGTGTAACATATATATTATTGAATGTTAAGTAAATAGTTTTAAAATACTTCAGAGTAATATTGATAGGTTATAGAAAGAGATACTGGTTACACAAAGAATGTAATAATGTACATCAAGAAGGAATTTTACAATTAAAACCTATAGTTTAAATAAATATTGTTTGGTCATGTTTATTGACATAGGTGTTTTATATGCATATATGTATACAAAAGATTGTTTATACTAATTTCTAAAACAAAAGTTTATTGTGCACCTTTAAATGAAGTAATAAAAAACACTTTGGCACTTAAAAAACATGTTCTGTTTTATGGTATAATGAAATATACAGTTATTGTGTTTGTTGTTTAAAACTAATAATGGCATTTTTGAAATCGTATTACTAAGAATAGTGTATACACTCTACTAGATGTTTTGTTGGTTTCAGTTGAAAATGCCAGTTTACGTAATAATGGTTTTCTTAAACCTAGTCCATATGTTGAGCTGACAGTGGATGGTAAGAGCCCTCGTAGGACTGAAATTTGCAGGACCACATGTCAACCAAAATGGAATGAAGACTTTACTGTATTAATAACACCACAATCGAAATTATTTTTGAGTGTATTAGATCATAATAATTTCCGCAAGGATACAGTTATTGGTGAGAAGAAAATAGAAATTGGCGAATTGCTTCAATACTACAGTGGACGTCTTGAAAATTTGGAACTCACTCTTGATTTACTGTCAGAGAATAAGGGAAATGAAACACCTACAAAGACAGGCGAACTTGTAGTTTTATTAAAAGGCCTAAGTATAGATGTCGCAAATGACAATCATGTGCGTCATAAGAGTGTGCATTCTATGCCTCTGACCCCAAGTAATGTTGAAAATCCTCAAAGTAGAAGTGTTTTGAATGGTGTGAGGGGTAGAGTACGCTCTAATGGGTCTGAAAATGTTGTTCCTGTGACTACTTCATTGTCTAGAACTTCACTTGATCAATCATCAGCTCAACCACAAACACAACCTCAAGCAGCTGTACCCTACCCTCAACAATCTCAACCGATTATTACAGCAGTCACACAAACCCCTGTTGCTGTTACTGGAGGTAATGTCTATTTTTATTTTACTTGACATTAATCATGACTAATAAACATCTCATCTACTGATTTTTTGATGATTATGATTAATCTTTTATTTGCCTGTTGTCTGAATTCAACTTTTTTTACCGAGTTGTTTTTATTTAGAAAATAATATTACTTTTCGTTCTCCAGTCCATCTGCGTTATGTAATTGTCGTGGTCATTGCGACGATATGTATGTATTGTATGAATCTGCAAACTATAATTATTATTGTTTGAATAATTAATCAACATAAGTACGTAGATATCCATTGTATACTGCTGATCTATGTTTATTTTTATCGTACAAAGTTAGACAAACTTTTGGATAAACAGAAATTCATTTGTTGATTTACTGTTATTAATTTAACTATTGGTTATAAACCAAACATTTGGTAAGAAGAAATGCTTTTGTTTAACATTTTATTTATTATTTTGATTGATTAATTGATAAAGATTCAATATTGTTAATTTTACATTATATTTCATTTCTATTCAGGAGCACCGGTTTTTACGGGGCCACACATAGGTCCTCCTGCAACTGTTCCAAATGGTAACGTTGTTCAAAATGGTCCGGAAGAAAGTCGAGAAGACCCTCTACCTCCCGGATGGGAAATGCGTTACGACATGTACGGGCGAAGATACTATGTTGATCATAATACAAGGTAATAATTTTATACTATATTTTAATATTGATATTTATTAATTAATTTTGATAATTATTATTTATTGTTTAATAGGTCGACTTCTTGGGAAAGACCCCAACCATTGCCCCCTGGGTGGGAAATGCGGAGGGATACGAGAGGTCGAATTTATTATGTTGACCACAATGCCAGGACCACTACATGGCAACGACCTAATACTGAACGCCTTCAACACTATCAACAATGGCAAGGTCAGAGGCAACATATTGTACAGCAAGGTAAGAATAAAAAATCATTTAATCGTAAGAAAAAAACGTTTAGCATGTAATTATGTGTGAAGTTTCCTTGCCACTTTAACCCAATTGGATAAATAATAAATAAATTTGCAGGAAATCAACGCTTTTTATACCCTACACAGCCTCAAATTACATCATCAGCTGGTCCTAGCGCAAGCCCTGCTGATGAGGACGACGGATTAGGTCCACTACCCCCAGGTTGGGAAAGACGCGTTCAGCCAGATGGTTGGTGTTTAATATTTTTCTTTTTATTACTTTTTGATTAAATATTGATAATGAATATCTTAAAACTACAGGCAGAGTGTACTACGTGAATCATAAGAATCGGACAACTCAGTGGGAAGATCCGAGAACGCAAGGGCAAGAGGTTTGCGGAGAAGCCGATGATACACCTTTGCCACCTGGCTGGGAAATTAGATATACCGAAGATAATGTTCCTTACTTTGTCGACCATAACAGTCGAACAACTACATTCCAGGATCCGCGTCCTGGTGCACCAAAAGGGCATGGCGTGTATGGTGTTCCTCGGGTATATGAAAGATCTTTTAGGTGGAAAATTGGTCAATTTAGGTAAGCTATTTGTTGATATTAATTACTGAAAATAATTTAAATACAAATATGATTGGCTACTGGTTATATTTTTTAATGTATTAGATTAGGTAGTGATTGTATAGGTTTTAGTTCTTACTCATTTTATTAGGGCTACCCCTCCTTTCTTTAGTGTTACCATGTAAAATAAATATATAAATTGTTACTCCGTTTTCAGATATCTTTGTCAAAGTAATGCTCTTCCCAGTCATATAAAAATAACGGTATCCAGACAAACGTTATTCGAAGATTCATATCATGCAATAATGCGTTTACCTGCTTACGAACTTCGTCGAAGGTTATATATTATATTCAAAGGGGAAGAAGGTTTAGATTATGGTGGCGTGAGCCGGGAATGGTTTTTCCTCCTTTCACATGAAGTACTTAATCCAATGTATTGTCTTTTTGAGTACGCAAACAAAAATAATTACAGTTTACAAATCAACCCTGCGTCCTACGTGAATCCCGATCACTTACTTTACTTCAAATTTATTGGTCGTTTTATTGCAATGGCTCTTTATCACGGTCGATTTATCTATTCCGGTTTCACATTGCCTTTTTATAAACGGATGTTAAATAAAAAGTTAGTAATGAAAGATATCGAAAGCATTGATCCCGAGTTTTACAACTCGCTGGTTTGGATTAAAGAGAACAATATCGACGAATGCGGCCTGGAGTTGTACTTTAGCGTGGATTTCGAAGTTTTGGGTCAGGTTGTTCATCATGAATTGAAAAAAAACGGTGATAAGGAACGTGTTACTGAAGAAAATAAAGAAGAATATATCACATTAATGACCGAATGGAGAATGACGCGTGGAATCGAACAGCAAACTAAAGCGTTTTTAGATGGTTTCAGCGAAGTTGTACCTCTTGAATGGCTCAAATATTTTGATGAACGTGAATTGGAACTTTTGCTCTGTGGCATGCAGGAGATTGATGTTGATGACTGGCAACGTCATACAATTTACAGGCATTACACTAGAAATAGTAAACAAGTCATTTGGTTTTGGCAGGTAAATATTCATTGCTTATAAGAAAAATTTCATTAATGATGTGTATCATCTAATTTTGATAACCAGCAAAATTAATTTATTAATTGTATCAATTGAAAAACTTTAAACTTCAAATACTGAAGTTTTGGAGCTTATTTAGCTTGTAAAACAACTTTGATAAATAACGAAAACATAATTTTATAATTAATAAATCAGCAACCCAGAAAATAAACAGTAACGAATATTTTAAAAAAAGAGTTATTGCAAACATATTGCGATTTTTACATCTATTTATTTTTGTTATAGTTTGTAAAACAAACAGACAATGAGAAAAGAACGCGCCTTCTTCAGTTTGTTACGGGGACATGTAGAGTGCCTGTTGGTGGTTTTGCAGAACTAATGGGATCGAATGGTCCACAAAGATTTTGTATAGAAAAGGTAGGTAAAGACACGTGGCTGCCCCGGTCACATACTTGTTTTAATCGTCTTGATTTACCGCCATACAAAAGCTATGAACAACTGGTGGAAAAATTAAATTATGCCATCGAAGAAACTGACGGTTTTGGTCAGGAGTAAGTTTTTTAAATCCAAAGAAATTTGTGTATTATCTATGTACATAATTTAGGAAATATCTTTGTAATGTTGAGGTAAAGTTGTACCTGAAATAATTATGCAACTGGTAACTAGACTCAATTTTTGTCGAGTTTTATTTTATTTAATTACCGGTAATATTTACTTACAATATTCGTATCATTATTACTAATATGATAACCATCTTCGTGATATACTGTTTGCTTAATCTCCCAACTGAATTTACTTTACCCCACGATGCTGTGTAAATATAATACATACATAAAATATATAGATAGGTGCTTATAGAAAGTGTAAATATATTAACCGGGGACATTCCATGTAACTATCGTAATTTAAGTAATCACTGATATTTTTAAAACCAAAGTGTTTTAATTTAAACATTAATTTATGTTGAAAGTGTGGACTGCATGTAATCTACTTGTATTTAACTACTCAGAAATAGCAGCATTTTATTTGTTTAGGTTTAATTTAAATAAAAGTAATAATTGTTTTACCGGTCGTTTTAGAAAAATTATACACAAAAAGGTTTTATTCTATGAAACAAGAATTAAGAACTGCCTTACTGTAATTGTTTACAATTTTTGATACTGATCAACATAAAATGAATCATTATTGATTAAACATTAAAACTTAATTTATATCAAATTTCAATAAAAATGTTTTTTATTAAATTAATTACATCTTACAAAGTTTATTAAAAGGAATGAAAATAGGTAGTATTTTAACATTCTCCTTTTGAAACTTTGTACTTAATTTTNTATATTTAACATAAAATTACAAAGAAATAACAATTTTTAATATCACATTCTTTATTAGAAGTCATGTCTTATTTTATTTGAAGAAATGTTCAAAATCAGACCAATCTTTCAAGAAACTGCCAAACTTGCTAGATCCTTGTACAGAATCTTGTTTGAAAATTTGGTTTTTTTCGGATTCATCTATATTCACCATGTTTTCTTCAATTTCCTTATGTCCATTTTTGTCCACTCGTGTCGTAACAGTATATTCTTTATCACCAAATTTTTGAGTTATTGTTGTTTCCTCATTACCTTCTTGATCTCTCACTGTTCGATGAGTTTCTACTACCTAATAAATCAGAAAGGAAGATTGACAAACATTTGTATAAAGTAATTCTTATCAAATTGCATTTACCCCATCTGGTCTTCTTATGGTTCTTGAAGTCACACTTTGACCATAAAAATGGAATTTGGGCCTTTCTCTATAGGGCATAACTTTAGAATCTGATCTGCGGAATACTTCATCAACATCATTCATATTTATTCTAAAATTTAAAAAGTGGTCAATGTTATTGTATATTATTTACATCTTTATATAATTTCCTAAAATACACTTGGTATGATTTATTAAGAAGACTTATTTTTCTTATTATTTCCTTACTCTTGTGATGATTTTGTAGACTACGAACTTATAAAAACTGTCTTACCTTCCATCAAGATCATCATCTGATTTATTTTCAAATTGATCTTGTTTCTTGTAGCCTGGTTTTAAAAATTGGTCTCTTAGATTATCTGCTTGATTTGACCCTGAATTTTGATCTTCATGTGGTGGTTTTAATATCTTAATATCTGTCATCCCAGGGTTATCTAAAATGTTTCAAATTTACTAAACTGACAATCAATTAGTTATTTTATTCAAACCATGAAAAGAATTATTAAAAAAGTCTTCAAACTGTTCCATTCCACTAAATGCTCTCATATTTTTCATCATTGCTTCCATCTGATGTTCAAAAAACTTTGCAATTTCTAGGGGACTAGAATATATGTTGATGCCCATTTTTTCTTCTTCCAATGGCAAATTTTGTTCTCTCCTAATAAAAATATCCATTATTAAAACATTTGTGTTTTGAAATTTACTACTTACCTTGAATGATCGGGGGTTGCAGGATACCTGAAAGAAGATTTAAATTAAAAACTAGTAATTTGGAAAATATAGATAACCCATATATATACCTTTCATCTAATCCAGAAGGTTCCCGAAATTTATGTTCGTTTTTGGATAACCCGAAAAAGTCCTTTAGAGAATCAATTATACCCATTTTTTATACTAAATCATAAATAATCAGATTGATGCCAAAAACTTTAGTTATCTGAATTATTCAATCGTATGTAATGGCAATATTCACAACAATAATTTTTAAGAATTATCCTATAGCACAACGAATATAATGATAATGAACGACTTTTTATCTAAGGTGATGGATGAATGACATGGACTTGTCTATGAGATGGACACTAATCATAGATGATAGACATTAACGTTGCCAACAAATGTGTTACAAGATTATTCTTCAGTTTAAAAAGGTTAATGGTGCATTATTATTAATGGTAAAAATATGACGAAACATTAAAAATGTAAAAAGAGGCTAAAACAAAATACCAATTCAACATCCAGAACAACAACGAATAACGGGTATATAAAAAATAATAATTGCGAGTATATAACAAATTAACAAAAATTGACAACAGTGTATAGATGATTGGTAAATGTTTTATTTTTGTGATTGTATTATTTGGGTATCCCATAGATAATTCCTCCTTTCTTTTCATTGTATGTTCCCATTTCCAACACCAGCGTGCGGTTTGATAGTTTGGTTAGGATAATTTTACTCAATGTTTCTTGATGTACATGATTTTACTTTAATAAAATGAGTGTAACGGAAAACTGTTCGCAGAAGAAAATTAAATATCTTGTTGCCGACACTACTGCGTTTATTCAGAATGCAACACTGCAGGTAATTTCACTAAATTATTACATACCTTATTTATTTTATTTATCATCAATATATCATACACGCTATAAAAATCATAACATGCATTTTTAGTGGTGAAAGGATTGAGCTCATTTTTGAAATTAATTTTAGGAAATTGCGAGTAATGTGGTGACGTGCAAAGATGTTGTAAATGAAATAATCAACAAAAGACAACTTCGTCGTTTGGTTGTTCTTCCATATGATTTGGTGATAAAGGAAGTATTTCCAGAAAACATTAAGGTAGTCACAGAGTTTTCAAGAAAAACAGGAGATTATCCAAGTTTATCAGCAACAGATATCAAAGTTATTGCTTTAGCATATCAGTTAGAAAAAGAAAAAGTAGGCACAGCTCATATACGTACAGAACCATTAGTTCAAAGATCTGTAAATATCATAACGAACAAATCTGTTGCTGAACTTAAAGCAGATACAGTTGGTTTCTATTTACCTGAAAAAAACAAAAATGATGTATGTATTGTCTTTAAGTTGTAAGTTGGTTTAAGATTGTAATTGTTAGTATTTTAGAAACATAAATTTGATACTGACCTCACAGATAGAAGCAAAGATGTATTGGAAAACGTGGTCAGTGAAAATTCTAGTTCATCTGACATACAAGAATCAGAAACTTTGTTACAAAGATTTGCCGCATTGGACATCGATGCTTCAAATTTTACTACAGATGACACTAATGCATTGATTGAAATAGAATCAGAAGATGAAAATGCAGCTGTTTCAGATGAAGAAAATAAAAGAGAAGATGATGATGATGATGATGATTTAGGATGGATAACACCATCAAATATTCAGAATGCTAAGAAGCAAATTAATTATACAAATACAGAGGAAAAAGAAGTTACTGTGGCTTGTATGACCACTGACTTTGCCATGCAAAATGTTTTAAAACAAATGAACCTCAATATATCAGCTTTAGATGGACGTGTTATAAAACATTTAAGAACATACATTTTACGGTGCTACACTTGCTTTAAAACTACAAGTGAAATGACAAGAATATTTTGTCCTAAATGTGGCAATAAAACTCTTAAACGAGTAGGGGTATCGGTTGATGAAAATGGAAAACAAGTTATACACATTAATGCCAGAAAACCCTTAACAGGAAGAGGGAAAAAATTTAGTTTGCCTAGAATAAAAGGTGGAAAGCATTCTAATAATCCTCACCTTGTTGCGGATCAACCATTCCCTGATCAAAGACCTAGTAGATTAGCAAAAACTAAAAACAATCCACTAGATGATGATTACATTGCAGGTAAATAGACATAAATAACATAAAACAAGTTGAAGACTTTGCAGATGGCTTTGAGCATGGTTTTAACAATTTTTATTAAATCTTACGGGGATTTTAAATCGGGGTTATAAGCGGTAAAATAGTTATTGTAATCATTGTTATGCAACCCAACAGACCTCATGTGTATCATTGTTGCCGAGATTAGTCTAGAAAAGTTCACGATTAGTTAATTACTAATATAGTTTGGTCTAAACTACGTTTAGGGTAAAATGACAAAAAATTTTATACTAATCAATAGTTAAAACCCGAGCCTTTTAATTTATATTTTCAGACGCTTGCATCTAACATGTTTAAGTGATTACTATTTATTGTTTTACTACTATTGAAATGTTTCTATAGGGTTCTCACCTTTTGTCATGAGAGACATAAATTCCAAGTCAGCACAACTGAAAATAAGGCCAAATAGCGAAGTAAAATATTGGATGAGAAGAAATCCTAATGAAGTCATGAAACGTAAGAAGTAAAAAAAAGCAGTTAAGTAAATAAAGTTTATTTATATTTAAAATGCTTATTTGATGGTTTTTGTTTACAAACTAAATACCTGGATGAGGATAATATAACAGTAGACGAATAATTGCCGTTCGTAAAGAAGTTATGCTCTTGTAAGTCATAATTTACTAATGCATCCGAAAAGCCTTGCACATACATGGCAGCCCATACCTTACCCTCTAATTTATTTATTTTTCTGAAAAGAAAATAAAATATTAAAATTGGTGTTTTTTATAGTTACTCTTGTTTCTTAAAATAATATTTATTTGATAGTAAATTAATATTGTTTTGATAACAAGAATTATTACTTAAGTGCTTCGTAAAAGCCTTTAATTTGTTGTGTTGTAAAGAGCCCTTGTGCTTCCAAAATTTTCACTTGTCCAACTTCGATGGTAGGTTCAGGCACTTGGTATGTAGACAAATAATTATTAGTCACATTTATCTCTCCTTCTAACATAAGCATCCCCAACCATTCAGTAAAACCGTGAATGTCATCATCATCCGCATCGGCTATATCAAATACCGGTACTTTAATGGAATACAATGTGTGTTTTCTAAATGTCGGTTTCTGTACTTCTACTTTATAGCCTTTAATATGAAAATATTTGGCAATTGATGATGGGCATACATCTTCAGTTGATGGATGCCAATTTAGAAATAATGTGACGTTTTCTAACTTGCTCAGACCGCTTTTGACGCGTTCATAATTATTTTTACCCGGTTTAAATGAATCGGCAAGTAAATCGATGTGAATAACTGTAACAAGTAATTAATATTGTGATAGAGAAAAGTACATAAATATTTCAAAAAAGTAGTTTCTAAGTATATTTTATTTTGTCATACACAAAATATAATCTACATTAATTTATGAGAAATAGGTAAGATACTCCATTTTATAATTATATAATATAATGATTTTAGTTTCCATAAACAAATTACAAATCTTACATATTTTATAAAAACATAAATACATTTTTATGAATTAACATTTCATCGTATTGCATTCATTATGCACTGCAATAATTTTCCTTTAGGTGATCTTATTTTTTAATCCATGTAATAATAAACCACATTGAATACTGTTAACCCATTAATGCAAGTGTCTATTCCTGTTAAAGTGATAAATTTCTGCTCACATAAGACATACGTTAAGAATCAAAATAGATACCACTATAACTATTACACATCATACATATTTTAAATATTGCACCATGAATACAGACGGAAAACATTTATTAAAAACGAATACAATAAACGGTACGAAACTAACCAATTGAAAATAACATCTTTAGTCATTGGCTGTAGCAAGTATAATAAGAGAGAGTTGGACTGATATCCAAGTCATAATTATTTATTTTTATATATGTTCTAAATTCCTTTAATTCCTCCATTGTTATACCTTGCCAACTTTCTAGTTCAGACAAAACACGCAAGTTAGTGCAATTTTCCAATAACATATTAACTGTACAAATATTCATATCACTGCTGTACAATATTCTCAATTCTTCCAAACGCTTCATCGGATTGTTGGCAAGAATTTTTGCCATAGATGCATGTGTGATACCTGTAGATGATCCCAAATGAATATACTTAATATTCAACGCATTCAAAAGTAAAAATTCAAGATGAGTTAGTGCGCAATCTACTACCCAAAAAATCCTTTCTAAATATCGAAAAGGCTTTACATTAAACATATCAACATATGATGAATTTTGATCAATAAAATCACAATTATAAAGGACTAGATTTTTTAATAGCGGACAGTACTGACTAATAGATACAATCGCATCCAAATCTATTTCTTCAACGTGCTCTAAATGTAAACTTGTAAGGTTTATGCCCCTAATCTCCAATAGTTGTTTTAAAAAATCGGTGTAAAAAGCACAGGACAAAAGTTTCAGTTCCTTTAAATTATCAAGCATCGCAAGAATCGTTAAGTCGGATGTTTGTTCGTCATGAAAAAGACTTATGTATTCTAAATTAGGACACATGTCCACTAATAGACGTAAATTCTCAGTTGACAAATCCCGCGTTTGTATTTTTCGTAAACCTAATGGACCAGTAACTTGGTAATTATGGTGTATATACTTTATCACAGCTCCAAATTCATCACAACGTCCCAAATCTTGTAATCTTTTGAGGTTCGTCAAAAGTTGGGCGTAACCCTCAACAGACACTGAAGTTCTGTGTAACTGCAATTCTCGTAGCTGGTTACATTTGAGTAGTGAAACTATACTACGGTCAGTTACTGATCGAGACGATGTTATATCGAGCACTTGTAATTGAGGGCAGTTTTCTCCAATATTTTGAACAATCGTATCTGAGCAATCAAAACATAAGCAAAGCGATCGCAGGTTTTTCATGTTAGTTATTCCTTCGATAACACATCTATCGTTATCAGCTGTGCGCCAACCACCTGTACAGGAACCCAAATTTAAAACTTCAAGACCAGTTAACTGTGCTAAATGTTTGTACAATACATATCGCATCATTTTCGGCCAAACGGAGAAATCGATATTTTTTAGATTTGGTGTGAGAATGGTTTCTGTTAAACTCACCACTACATTCATTTCCATAAGAAAAACAGACATTGGTGTATGATGATCGTAGGTTTTTTTAGTCTTTTCAATAAGATCTTTAACTGATTGTAAAACTTTGAAGGCTACTGAATTGTAAAGGAAGTAGGGAATACTGTCAGCCAAGTAATATTGCAATTTAATAATCCAACTTTTTAAAACATGTGCTGATTTTAGGGGATCAGAAGCATTTTTAACGTTGATTAAAATTTGGGAGGAAAGTGAGACAACAAAGTCTCCCACTGCATTCACACTTAAACTTTGCAAAGATGCTACTTGATGATGTCTAGGCATTATCTGCAACAATAATGGCTATTATTATTTATGTGCCATAGTGCTACAGAGGCACCATTTTTAATTTTAAAGAGGCAATAAGTGATTGAGCCCAACAATTATCCTTTATTAGCTAGTTCATAATAATTGCATATTTGTTTGCATTAAATGAATATATATTCAGTCATATAATCCTTAGTTAGATCATGTTTAAAAAAAATTTCCATCATAATGACCTAGAATGAAAAATTCTGGACTTCCTATTTCTTTTTAATATAAAAGTGTAAATATGTTTAATTTTACAAAGTGCCTAGTAAATGATGAGAGCAAATGCAATTTTTTACACTTCAATAATAACTTTAACAGGAATGACGACTTCCATTGCCTTACAAAAAATGTTTCAGTAAAGTTTTAGTAATAAACGGGGTGTTAGATTGTAAACCATTTTTTTTTGTTTCAAATAGGTTTCAAAAAAATGTTATACTCACTGTAGCGATTTTTATTCTTTTGACTAAAGTGAGACAGTTTTCCTTCAATTCCCAAAGACTGATACGTTTCTTTAATCAATGATAGAATTAACTGACCTGAAGGTGTTACACAAATACAGTTATCACAATCAATTTGAACACCAGTATTAAGTATTGTTAAATTACCTAGAAGAAAAAATTTTAGAGTTCATATACAACATTTTATTGAACTTACCTTTCTTTACAAATTTATCAATGAAAACTTTCTCAACTAACTCAGTTACAGCAATATCAATTACTTTATAAAAATCTGTATCTTCTGCTAATACTTCTGATAACTCTTTCGGAAATTTAACTGTATCAGGTAATACAAATGAAACCTATAAATTTAAAATTATTTAATACACTAATACACTTTCTCCCGTTTAATACTAACAATATGGTTATAATAAGAATTACAAATTGATTCAACGGAATCCTCTTCAGTATGTGTCCCTTTCTTAACGTTAACGTGTGTTCGAGGAGGTTGAAAATTGAACACTTCAGGAGAAAGCATTATATTTTAGAAACTTTGTTAAAACAACTATTACATCCCCGAATTGATGTTTAATTTTAGTATTAAACAATAGTACTTGCCAGTATTTGCGTCTTATGACTTTTATTTTCTATTTATTTACATGTATAGACTGGCATTGACTTTCTATGTGCAATAGATAAGTTCTATGGATAAGTTAATTTAAGTAGCTCATAGAAAAGAGAACCAACCATAGATTAAAGATATATAATTCTTAGGAAGTCGCGTGAACTAGAACTTGATATACATAATCCACTGATTTGGAGTTTATCAATAAATTGTGCGTCGTTTACGGGTTTTAAATATGTACGCAGCGTAATTGTGCCTGAATTAGTTTTCTTTAATAAAAAGAAAATTGTTTCAAGTACCGGAAGAAAATGCCCATTTATTCGAAAAATATTAACTAGCATTTTCTTCCATATTCGACATGAAGATATCTAAGGTGATCATAGATAATAGATCTACAAAAGGTAAGGATGAATGAAGCTAAATTAATTGTGTATATTTTGTTACAGTATTTATTTTACATTAAATGTGGATTGTATTTTTAACATATCCTTTTCCGTTGATTTTGCTAAAACAAGTATCGTGTGATAGCAAGTTTTGATAAAAATAATTTATCAAACTATGTTGTGAATAATGNAATAAAAAGAAAATTGTTTCAAGTACCGGAAGAAAATGCCCATTTATTCGAAAAATATTAACTAGCATTTTCTTCCATATTCGACATGAAGATATATAAATTATATTAAAAAGTATGTATATATTTTAATTTAAGTATGCAAAACAGAAGATACATTAGGCAAAAGGAAATAGTAAAATTCTGTTAAATTTTTTAATTTTTGAATAATTATTTGAACGTACCTATAGGTATCTTCATGACATACCTAATAACTTATCCATATTAATAAGTGTCTATGATTAACAATCACAGATGAACCATAGCGTGACCATAGTATAATAATGCTACGTGACATCTACGTGTCTTCTATGTATGTTATCAATGGTTAGTAATGGTCAGCCCTTTGTAGATCTATTATCTTGTGGTCAGCAATGATATTTTGGTGTGGTTATGGTGTGGTGTATTTCGTAAATGAAATTCAAATTCTTGTGTAAAAATTTCTGCTCAAAGTCATGCAATTGTTAAAGCTTGATTATTTATACAATTGATTACAATGTGCACATTTATTTTTCGGAAGCTTATTTTTTTCATAGTGTTTATTATTTACAGTACCTCAGAATGATTAGCTTTCTTCGTAAAAAAACTTGATTCCATTAGATTTGACTTAATTTATCAAGTACAAGTACATATGACTTTTTAGAATATCATAACGTAGTTTAAAGTCTTTTCATTTTCAGTTTCTTTTTTCAGAAAATGGTATTTATAGTACATCAAGTTATGTGTTGTATTCGACATAGGACTTCTAATGAACTCTAGAGGTAGGAACGATTGTATGGTGAAAAATAGGGCTGTAACTAGTGTGAACAGAAATAAACTATAAATTGAATCAAAGGATAGGATTATTTGAATTTGATAAGTAAACTGTTTTAGTAGACAATTAATTGTACTGATTTTCAGCGGTTTCTGGTATTTGCTTTATTGTTGTTTTTTATTCTATCTTAATTTAGTAGTTCATTTAATCTGTGTTTGTTGTGCTTTTCAGTATAGTTTGAGCTCTGGGATGAATTGAGAGCACAACACTTTCACTGGTACGATGGTACCCTTCTTATGGGACTTCTTTACCTTGGAACATTATGTAGGTAATTAAAGTAAGAATACATATAATAAGAAAAAAATTCAGAGAATATTAGAATGAATCCATTCATAATTCTTTACTGTAGGTATATGCTTATGTAAGAAAATAAAACTTTTATGAAACAAAGTAAATACAACACTACACACCTAAACCCCCACATAAAACAATTTGTTAATTATTTATTTATTTATTTGGCTAGCAAACACCTTTTAAAATAAGATAAATGTAGCATATATTACAATTAGATATGATATGTGGAATTTCTGGTTGTAAGTGTTTTATTTATGTATGTCCATGCTTATTAACCGAGACTATATTTGTAATTCGAATATGTACTAATTAGTAGTCAATTTAGTATACATTCCCATTTTATTTATAATTGTACAACTTTTGTTGTGAATTTTTAATTTAAAATCTTACAGTTTTATGAAATGATAACTATTAATAAGACAGTAATAATTATTTACATTATAACTTTGGCCGTCTGTTTATGCGTAGTATTTATTTGTTTGTTTTTAAACGAGCAAAGCCTTTTATTATATTCAAGAACTATTGCAAAATTATCTGCGAGTTAATGAAAGCTTGTATTGAATGTTAATAAATCGATAAAAACGACATTACAATCTGCCAACTCAGATCACAAAGGAACCCATGTATACATTTCTTTTTAACCTTCTGTTATTACATTATTTACTATCGAGCCTAAGCTAATTATATCTTTAAATATAGTTTTGTTTAACAGGAATATTACACAAACTTTGGACATCATGTGTAGTTGGTCTGTGATTATAGCAGTCCACATTTCATCCGAGCATGGAGCAGTATCCATTTATTCAATGAAAGCAGAAACAACAAGGGTAAGTAACAAAATTGTAATTTATAAGGTATAATGAAAAATTTGTCAAAGTGGTAATTATTTTGCCTAATGATTACTAATTTTATTTTGAAACACTTTGTTTATCATTGTAAAAGGATTGTTTATCAACAAAGAAAAACAATTCCTAATACATATTTAAGGTAATTTATTGGCACTTTTTATATTTATGTGTACATAGGAATAGATTATTTAGGGGGTCAGCAGTAAAATTATATTTGTGTGTATAATAACGTAGAATTATCGGTTATTATTTTGTTAAGATTGCAGGAATTGCGAAACTTCAGTTTATCAAAAAAAATCTTAAAAAAGCCAGTGCATTTTGTTTGTTCTTTCACAAAAATTCAAAGAAAACGTCTGTTTAAAATTTCAGCAAAAGTCGGTTTGTCAAAACTAATTGGTCTTTTTTTCGTTAGACCATCGCTGGTAACATACATCGACTTTTGCAACCCATTCTTACAAGACAGACTTTTTCCTGAAGAATGATGCGGATGTAGTAATGTCTAATCAAAAAGCTTGAATTCAATCAATAAACAAATCGTTTTATAATAGCAATAATTGTCTTTACATATTTGTGTTTTAAATCAAGTAAATACAAAACTAATACTAAAATATTAAAACATTATTGCATATTTCATATATAGTGACTAATTAAACTACAAATTGCACCATTAATTATTTTTTGAAGGACATGTCGACTACTTTGGTGGTGTTTGATTTTTATTATTACGATAATTAAAGCTCTCTTCAAAGTGTACATTGGGATGATTAGCTATCTCTTGAACCCTTAAAATAAACAGGTCGATTAAAATGTTGTTTAATAAAAACAAAGTAGAGCAAATGATTAATGATCTGAAAGAATTTACAATAGTACATTTATCTTGGCTACTAATAGCCGTACTGTTTTTCAAATTGATTACTATTGATTATTTTTGTAAAATCATCTCTCTAAAACTTGACACAATCCTTATAGGATAGGGCTGTGGCTATGCAGAACCTATATTTTATTTATTTTTATTATTATTGTGTTATAAAATCACAATTTAAATACACCCATTAATACAACATTCATACGTTAACCAAGATCCACATAAATGTTATTTTTAACTAATTTACTTGGAAATACTACATACATTCTTAGAAATTGTTATAATATGCTGTTAGTGTTGTAGTTGTATTGAGGTATTTTTTTAAGACGGATAAGTTTCTATTTACTAATTAAACTTAGTTTGATTGAACGCACTTATAAACTGTATTATCTATGTATCATAGGTATAGAAGGAATTTTCATCTGTGGGTCTTCCGGCGATCTTATCTGTGTGCTCGCATTCGGTCTTCGAGAAGCCAGTGAGAAAGACAAGTCGCCGCTTATGCTGCCCGTAAATGAAGACGATGCCTGAAGGTATTTAGCGCTAATCTTTATTCAATTTTCATTTGGTTGTGTGGAATATGTTTCTATGTAGCGTTTGATGGATTTCCGATCACCGCTGCTTACATTTTTTTCGGTGTGAACAACATCGGTAGCGTCCTGATTTCGTACTGTTAACGTGGGTATCCATCTTACCGGACCACTCATCTATTGTGAATTTTTATAGATTAGTAGTTTATTTGAGATCGAATAATTGGGATTTTGTTAGAATTTTTAAATTTTGAAAACAGTTTTAGGCAATGATTGTAGATTTTTTCTTATTGGTGTGTTCACGTCCTGATGAATTGCCTTTGTTTTGTAGCCAAAATATGTAAAATATTCACAAAAATTTTTCGTTTGCTTTCTTATTGTAGAGATGGGGTTTTAACGACGGTTTTTTTTTTCTATAATACAGGCTTTGATGATAACATTCTTGGATTACCTATATGGACAAACTACTTGCAGATGTTATCTGTGGCAGTTAAATTTACTTTTATTTCCAAAAATACTTCTGATGAGATGGTCGAAAAATCCATACGCATAGGATGTTAACAATGGTAATTATCATTTATAATAAAATAACAAAAGCTAGTGAACATATAATTAATATTAAGTTGTTTCAGCAGGTTAAACATAATAAATGAACACAGAGGGTAAATCAGAAGGAGTCGAAATGTGAAGAAACAGAGCCCCACTCACACTTCTTTCTCTTGGACTTAGGATGGAGTCATTTGCAGAGAGGGTAAGAAATGTTTAATTATTTTATGAAGTTGTTTGTGAAATGGTTTGTGATTTGTTTGGGAAATGGTTTGTGATTTTCTAAATCTTGTATTTCATGTTTCACAATAATTGCTGCTAAAAATGTTTACTCTTCTGAATTGTAATAGTTGGACCTTTATAGTTCTTAATGTTCTAAAACGTAATAGTTAAGTGAAACTAACATTAAATTGTTTCAACAGGTTATCATTTAAACTTATTAAATGAACAAGAAGACAAAGAATAAGGAAGAATAAACGTGGAGAAGTGGAACCCCGTTAATGTTCCGTCCTCTTAGACTTGAAAAGTGCAATTTTTAGAGAACAAATGAAGCTCAATTCACATTGATGTATTTAAGAATAAAACTTGAGCACAGTACAATTATCCTGGAGGTAAGTAATTGCTTTATTTGTTTATTTTGGTGGTACTTCATTTTCATAGTAATTTGCCATGCCTGGCATCTATGGTTTTTGTTCTCTTACAGTTATCTATTGCCCACATCTATGATTTTCTTCTATCAATTATCTATTGTGTACAAGCATCTATGATTATTTCTATTGCTTTTAACATTTATCTATGTCTTGAATAAAATTGACCACATCGCCATTTTATAATTTAGGTATTTTACTTGCTCTTTCGTGTATGTTTTTGTTATATTTCATATTTTACTTAATTTAATCTCTTATTTAATTAATAATGTAATTAATATTTCTTTTTGTCCGTCTCTGCAGATTGTCCAAATGGCGAGAAAGAGAGAATTAAAGTTCAGATTGATGGTATTCAAACAGCCATTGTCTTGTCTTGATTTGCTGTTTTCGTCTTCAACTTGCAACATTATGCAGTTAATTTTCGACAGATGAGTGAGAGCCAGACGAGATTTATATGAATTTCACTGGAACAAGTTTTCTGCTACGATATTCCTTCTGGATTTAGTTTGCTTTTCACAAATCCAAACTTGGGAAGTTTACAATAGTCTTATGTTTGCTAAGGTGAGAGTATTTAATATAATTAATATTAATTGCTCTTTATTAATCTGTTACCACCGTATCTGTTTCAGATCGACGCTGGAGAAGACAAAGAAGACCCCGTAGTTAAAATAGTTCTTTTGTCTTGCATGCTCTACCTAATAAAAATAATTCTTTTAGTCCAAACTCAGATTAATTTTTTATTTTGCATGTTTTTTTTTGTAGTTTCTTTGAATTAGTTTTTGTTTTGCATGCTTATTTTTGTTCATTTTATTTAAATTAATTGTTGATTGTAGATGTTTTTATTTTTTTTTGTATGTAGTAGTAGTGTAGTAGTAGAAATAACACGTTTAGTAGTATGACTAATGTACGTA